CAGAAGGCAGACGCTTAACCGACTGAGCCATCCAAGCGTCCCTAGTTTAGGTGATTTGGGAATTTTAGTCAGAATCTGGGGGGGGGGGTGTTTAAAATGGCCAATAAAGCCCAAAATGTTGCCCCAGGAGGGAAAAATAGGAGCCAGGGCTACATCAAGTATCGATACACACAGACATCAAATCCACCTGGATCAAGCTTTGTGATAGATGCCCTGAAGGCAGGTTCCAAGTATGAAACTATGAATCTCTCCAGTGTTCAAGGTCTATATTGGTTAAAGCAAAAGCCACTGTCTTTAGCGTGCTCCCAGCAGTACCTCTTCTGGGGAGGGGGTACCCAGCTGATTGCTTGACTCTAAAGACTCATGGGAAAGCTGTGTAGCTACACTTCTGGGCCCTTCGTGATTCAGCTGCCTCTGTTATTGTTGAGAGTGATTTTGCTCAATTATATTGGCAGTAAATCTAGATTTAAAAAGCAGAATTCCTTAACTTCAGACACCTGATACCTATTTGTTTTGAGTGAGGTGTTAAAAGTTTAAATTGGAAAAGGTTATTGATGTATTTATTATAAAGTGGGTGAATTGCAACATTTTTTTTTAAAGCTTCTGAAGAATCCTTTATTTGGCCATAATTCTTTGCTTCTGAAATTAACCAACAGATTTGACTATACTCCACAGAAAGAAGGGGGATAATGATAAGTCACATGACCTCAGACTCAGAATGGGGTTGGACCAGAAAGTCCCTTACAGATAGAACTCTAAAAATCATAAACTGTCAGCCTGTAGGTCAAACCAGGTGAGAGGATGCCTTAAAAAAATAAACTCCCACTGGCTCCCAAAATATAAAAGTTCATAGAATTCACAAAAAAACTTGAGGGGTACCCGGGTGGCTCAGTCGTTAGGTGTCTGCCTTCGGCTCAGGTCATGATACCAGGGTCCTGGAATCGAGCCCCACATCAGGCTCCCTGCTCAGTGGGGCATCTGCTTCTCCCTCTGCCTTTGCTGCTCTATCTTTCTCTGTCAAATAAATAAATAAAATCTTTTAAAAAAGAAGAAAAAAAACCTTGAACTTCCTTTATCCCATTTTAAACTCTCACCACACTAGCAGCATAGCATAGTAGTTGCCCTCATTAAATAGAGCATTAATGCCACCTGAGTCCTCCCGCCCACCTGGTTCCCTCTTAATTGATGCCCAGTCCATGTCATGCCGTTCCCTTACCTCTCTGTTCTCTCTGTCAGCCAGCTTTACAGATCCTGATTTACACCAACTCTTTCATTTTGTATTCAAGTAACATGTGACTCCTAAGGAAATATATAATTTGCCCCAATCATGTAACTGGTACTTTTCAGGGCGTAAAACAAAAATAAAACAGGGTCTGCCTTGCAATAAATAGAAAAGAATTGAAATTTTGTGATCTAATGTTCATTATCATGGAGGTTCATTTAATTCTAGCCAGGAGAAAATTGCATTTTTATAGTATGTATTGATTCTGGTAGAAAGAAGTGTGTTGGAACAATAAAGCAAAGGCTAATGAGGAGATATTTTGTCTAGAAAACATCCGTTTTAAACACTTACTAACAAATAGTATTTTAAATGCTTTTAGTGGTGTGCATAAGATTTAAATTCCTTTTAAAATGATGCCAGTTACTTTTTCCAGTATTGATCATTTCCATCCTAATTGTACAAAAATATACATGAAATGTTGTTTTTAAAGTTTGAAATGAACGGTGGCATTTTTCTGGTGTTAAAGCTGAAGGTACATTAGCTGCAAACTTTCTATTTATGTACTTTATAAGGATCAAGAAACGAACTATGGAAAGCATACAATTTAGTACTTATGAGTAGCAACAAGATAAACAAGTCAACAATCTAAGCCACATTTACTTTCACAAGAAGAAATTCAGTTTATGTTAGTCATCCCAGAATGGGATGTTTTCTTATACCAAAATAAACTTTTATGGTATATTGACCAGTCATAAGTTATTTTGTTGCTCTTAACATTCAAGCCATGTGTATCAGTTATCTCTTGCACAAGACAATATTTTTATAAACTTAATGACTTAAAACTACACATACATCATCTTGAAGGTTCTGTAGGTCAGAAACCAGTTACTTGCATTCTGTGTTTTATTGTCTCACATAGGTTTGAACCAAGGTGTTAGCTAGGGCCAGTGTCTCATCTGAGGCTGGACTAGAGAAGAGTCTGCTTCCAAACGGGTGGTTGTTGGTAGAATCAATTATAAGTGGGATGTTGGGCTGAGAGCCTCAGTTCCTTGCTGCCTGGTGGTCAGACATCTCACCTTCATTTCTTGCCTTACGGACAATTCCACATGTCCCCTTCATTCAGTCCGGCAAGGGAGAGAGTTAGAGTCCCCTAGCAAGAGGGATCTTGAAGGATACAGTCTTATTTAACGTAATGACTGGGTGACATCCCATTTTCTTTATGGTATTCTGTTGATTAGAAGCAAGCTGGAGCCTGGCTGTCTTGTGAGAGGAGAGCGATATGCAAAGATCACAATGTCAGGAGGGGCTGTTATTGAGGTCCATGTCATAGACTATCCTGTTTCCATCTCTCTGATTTTTCATCTTTTCCAGGTTTTATTTCACCAGCACCATGGTCTATCAATAGGCAATGCAACAAACAGCACATGGTCTCAATGTCTCCTTTATAATCTCAAATACCATACAAAAGTGTATCTATTTATCATCAAAGCAGTCCATCAAAACCAACCTTAATGTTGCTTTTGTGATTGTCTTCCTTTTTGTGGTAGACTATTATCTTTCCTGCTCAAGGTTACCTAAGGCATCCGTATTCCACTGAATGGACACTGTGACAATGTGTAAACAAATTGCTCAGAAAATATAATTGTTATCTCAGATATGTCACTTTAGAAGTGTTTACCTAGGCAAAGGTATCCTTTTCTAATCTAAACATGTTCTTGTTAATTAATGGGGACCTTCTTGGTTGGAAATCATAAAAATCCTAGATTAAGGAGAAATTAAAGACTGTTTTGGTCACTGAAATGATGAGCTTACCTAACTCCAAGTACAGCAGCATTTAGATATTAGCAAAATATAAGGGACCTATTTTCAACCTTACTTCTTTCATTTGTGTTGGTATCGTGATCAACAAGAACCTGATCAATGTTCTCATAAGGTAACATCAAACAGCATTAAAATTCTTTCCAAAAATGTTTCCTAGTACTAAAAATAAAATTTCTGGGCAAGACTCTTTTTACGTGAGACATCAACACTGAGCAATGAAGATAAAGCGCCCTCAGTGACTGGAGATGGGTAATGTGTCTATTACCCATCTATTATCCACACCCTGGGGACATGGGCAGACTTCACCAAACCTCTTAGATGTGGTGTGGGGGAGTTGTGGTTATCCGCTGTAACAAAAGAAGGCAGAAGTACATGTGAACATACATACATACTTGATCATTTTCATTAAAAGTTATATGGATTAGTTCTTACTCTTTTGGGGGAAAAAGTAGTTATTGAATATGCGATGAATATATGGAGCCCCATTAGGCACTAAAGCATCTATAAAATAGATCACTTTACATTTTGGTAACTTAACCAAGCATATGAACTATGGTGACAAAGGACACAGCCATTTGGACGTGTTTATAAAGAGTTGTATGTAATTAATTTTCTGGACCATATGTTTGTAGTTCAGGATTTGTTATAAAAGTGTCTGGTGATGGGGCACCTGGGTGGCTCAGTGGGTTAAAGCCTCTGCCTTCAGCTCAGGTCATGATCCCAGAGTTCTGGGATCGAGCCCCACATCGGACTCTCTGCTCAGCAGGGAGCCTGCTTCCCTTCCTCTCTCTCTGCCTGCCTCTCTGCCTACTTGTGATCTCTCTCTCTAAAAAAAAAAAGAAAAGAAAAAAAAAGTGTCTGGTGAAGTCACAATACAATTGCACAGTGTAATCCAGATTAGAAGAACTGAGAGGATGGAGATAAAAACGAGGAGCAATATTAGGAGAGTAAGTATGAAAAGAAAATGCCAATGGAGGAAATGACAGTAGGATTTGTCTTATCAGCTTGAAGCAAGATGTGGGAGCTCAGAGAAGTTGGACACACTAGGTAGACTGACTGGGCTATTTACTAATTTTTAAAAATCTGTTGGATCTGGGTAACATAAATACTTGTATATTATACAAGTGAGATTATTTCCATTAGGTTATAATTAAAGTTATGATAGCCAAAGTTACAGCCACCAATACTGTAAAATAAATGAAGATTTTGAGAATGAGATGTTTTGTTGAAAATATCACTTGGAAATTAAGCTAATATCATAGTACTGAGGACAAAATCTAGCTACAAGTGAGCAAAATCAGTGAGTTCAAGAGAAAGGTCAGTATCAGGTTCCCTGCTCAATGGGGAGCCTGGTTCCCCTTCTCTCTCTACCTGCCTCTCTGCCTACTTGTGATCTCTGTCTGTCAAATAAATAAATAAAATCTGTAGGAAAAAAAAAAAAGAGAGAAAGGTGAGTGTTGTGAGGCCATCTGTTCAAATACTTTCAGAACAGTTAGAGCCTCAAAGTAGAGCAAGAATAAGGACTAGAAAGAATCACCTGGAAGCTATTGGTTAAATATGCTAAGGGCAGCAGCAAAAGAGCAACATTTTACTTTACAAATTGAGGTAACAAATTGTATCCTTCTATTGCTTTCAGTTCAGAAAGTAATTTGGAGAAACAAGTGGGAAGAATTTTTGTATGATGTTTGGCAGATAATAAAATAGTATCCAAAATTAAATTATATCTCAAATTAAAAATAATGCAGGTGACAAGACATTCACAACAAAGAGAATTTGCATAATTGTGAACACAGTTTTTAGGGCTGGAGATTAATGTAGTACTTCTTTGAAAACTTCAGAAAATGTATTATTCAAATAAGTGCACTCATACATGAACTAACATATTCTATAATTAAATTCAGAACTCTGTCATGACAAATAGACTACAAAAAATGAATCCTCTTCTCTAAACCTGCAGACCCCCTCCAGTGAGTGAACTTGCAACCAGAGGGACTATTGTTGGCGTGATTTCTGCAGCGGCCATCAACCAGAGTATTGTGTACTCCATAGTTTCAGGAAATGAAGAAGGTGAGTATGTATTCGGTCTGTGTCTTCACCATAAACTAACACACTTGGATCTGGGATTCAGTTTAGATTGAATTATTCTTTACTCCATTTTTCCTAATAAGAAGTTATCCAACTTAAATGTAATTGGTACCTTTGTGCTCATCCTAATTAAAAAATTTGGTAGTACTAACAAACATGATTCCCACTCCCACCCCCACCCCCAAGCTCGGGAAATACTAATCATCCAATTCTGGGAATTTTGCTCTTGTCCTCACTTGGGATATTTTAATAATATTTCTTCAAAATTAATGCATCATACTTTCAGCTTTTGGTTATAATTATTGCCTACAGGGCTCTCTTCCCACCATTCTGGACCATTCATGACTCACTCCATGTCATAACTAGGCTAACACTGAAGAAATTTTAGGGTCATAAATAATTTTTAATGCCCAAAGAGCCACATCCATGATAAAACCCATGTACATTGTATAATATGATTCCTCAAGTGGTCAACTTGATATAAAATTAACAATAATAAGTAAATAAATAATTTCAGTTTTGTGTACCAACCAGTATTCACTGAGAACAGGATGGTTTGCCAGCTTCTGGGAAGAAGTTCACAGCTGCCTTTCTCACCCATTCTTTTTCTTACCATTATCCATAGTTAGTGGTCCTCTGTTTTTCACTTTTGATAAACTGGAAAGCCTGGCATGTCATAAGTGGTTGAGATATAGTCAGTGTACATTTAAGGGCACCTGGGTGGCTCAGTCCATTGAGCATCTGCCTTCAGCTCATGTCATGATCCCAAGGTCCTGGAATCAAGTCCCACATTGGGCTCCTTGCTCAGCCAGGAGTTTGCTTCTCCCTCTATGTCGCTCCCTCCCCCATTCCCATGCCCCACCCCCTCAAAAATAAATAAAATCTTTTAAAAAAGGAATAATCAATATACATTTAATAAATACATGAATATTCAATATTTAATATTTAGTGAGTAAATGAGTATAAAATAAATGTGATTAAGCAATTCACAAGGAAATTATAAAGGCTCTTTTTAAGTATCTCAATCACCACTACTGAAAATCGCTGCCCTTGCAGCAAGGGCTGGACATCTTGCTTTTGTTACTTTCTTCTTTGTTCCTACTGTGCTGCTATGCCTCCTCCCTAAATATCACAAAGTTCTAATTCCTTTTAGTATTTAAAGGACCATCCAAATCTACCATGATGGATATAGTATGCGGTGCTTCCCAAATTTAATTGACTGATGCAACATTGTTTCATTGTTCCAGGAGAATTTCAATGTAACTAGAAAATTAAGAGGTTCACTTAAGTATACACTGATGATAATTTGAAGAGATGGAACATAGTTTCCAAAAGCTAGCATCCTGTAACTTTTATGCATTACTCAAGTTAACAAGTCACATTTTTAAAATCACAGTACTTTTTAAAGAGAATTCTCTTTTTTTTCTTATAGTGTGAAGGAAATGACAAAGAACTATATTTAAATTGCAGATATGTTTGGAATTAACAACATCACAGGTGTTATCTATGTGAATGCCCCCCTGGATTATGAGACCAGGACAAGCTACGTGCTTCGAGTCCAGGCTGATTCCCTAGAAGTGGTTCTTGCCAATCTCCGAGTCCCTTCAAAAAGTAAGTTACATTACTTAAGCATTCTGTAAGGATTTTATGGTTCTTCTGCTCATTTGCTGATGAAATACATGTCCAAAAGTCATCCATACAGAACATAGGGAGATCAGTAGTACCTGGAGCTGACTGCCCATCCATTTTAATAGCTGATATAGAGGACAGTGCAGGGAGTGATTTCATACTCCTGATATATCAGAGTAATAATGCACCGTCTTCAAACTGGGTATACGGTATTTCTAGAATCAACTTTATTCTTAATTCCACCATAAGGCTCTGTCGAACTCTCTGGAACATGTATTGTTAATGGGTACAGGACTGCTCGACATTCTCTGAATTTTGTGGTCTCTTGTACTTACGGATTTTCTTAGCACAGAGGAAAATGCATCTTAGAAGAGCAACTAACATTTATTGTAAGTTATATGTAGCGTTATATTTAATTCACACCCATTTCTAGGAGATGAAAATTATTATTCCCGTTTTACAAAGACAAGATAAGAAAAGGTTAAGTGACTTTTTAAAAATGACACTGTTGGTAAATGGAAACCCAGAGATTTAAGCAGACAGCTTTTGTCTCCAGAATCTTTCTCCAACATCTGTGTGATATAGTTTACCGACACAAGAGAGCAAGTAAGGCCAGTCTGTGAAGGGCACCAGCAGAGATTCTGGGAGATATTATTAATAACGAGATAAATACTGTTCCTTTCTGTCTGTTGAGATAATACTTATTTGCACTTTGGGCAGTTCATCTTTTTATAATCACACCAACTCTTTTAGAATTTAGAAGACCCGAGAAAACCAAATTGAACTTAACTCTTAGTGGAATGGAGGCTCAGAGACAGCATGAAGTGGAAAACAGGCTCTGAAACAGGCTCCTTTTCATTCCGGGGTCCTTCCTGGACATTGTACACCAACACTCCAACAATCAGCATCTTTAGAAGGTGTGGGGGGGTGAAGAGCCTATGAGAACCCCAGTGTGGGTACAGGCATAAAGCCAGAGCCACATAACCCAGGAGGTGGAAGAAAGGAGAGAAAGGTGGATAGAAAAGGCAAGAAATGTGCCCTAGAATTTTCTCTACCAGCGCGGTAATTGATGATCCTAAAAGTTATCACTCCTTTCTTATTTCTTTCAAGTCTCATTCACTGATTAGTGTGGAGGGCTACACAGTTGTTCAAAAAGGTACAATCAAGTCATTTGGAAAAAAATCAGATATACATGGTGTGACTTTGAAATTAAGGGAATTATGTTGTCCTCAGTGATTATTCATCACTTGCGTAATTGTTTAAGAAATATCAGGCCAGTTTCCTGAGTTCTTAACATCTTTAAACTGTAGACAATTATTTTTACAAAATATAGAGAAACCTTTAAATTGTCATTTGAGTTGACTAAACCAGGAGTCAAAAGGTTAGAGTAGTTCTAAATGATATAATGCAGACTACCTTACTACAACTTGGGAAACATGGAAACTATTTGAAAACTATATTTGTCATCCTTCTTTGAAAAAAATGAACAATTGTATTTAGAAAGAAAAATCTGCTAAATATTGAGGTTGTAGAAGTTGGCATTTTTCAGGAAAATAGCTCCAATTTCTAGGAATAAAGACATATCGATATCTCATATGTGAATATGATATAACTAGTTCTCATTACTTTAATCTAAATCTAATCTAGACTAATAAAGTTTAGCTAATATACCTATGTATACTTACATGTGTCCAAGTATGTGTGGAGAGCTGAGACCAGCTAGCAGATGTGTGACATAGCTTCTCAGAAGAGCATGAGATCTGAAAGCTAAATGTTAGTTTGTTTAATGCCTGAGGCTTTTAATACTGTTATTAACATTTCATGACTGACCTCTGCCTCTAGAGTCTGAAATACAAACTCACCTATTTAAAACAGCTTCATTTGGGGCGCCTGGGTGGCTCAGTGGGTTGAGCCACTGCCTTCGGCTCAGGTCATGATCTCAGAGTCCTGGGATCGAGCCCCGCATCGGGCTCTCCTCCTCCTCCTCCTCCTCCTCCTCCTCCTCCTCCTCCTCCTCCTCCTCCTTCTTTTTTTCCTATCTACAATCCATCCTAAAAATTCTGGGAAAGCTGACATTTCTCTCCTGATTCATGTCTTTTTAAAACTGCTTTTCTTGGTTAAATAAGTAAAATCAGATCACCCTGATGCAATTGCTCCAAGGTTACAAATAATAGAAGTTCTGGTGGATGCTTTTTTTTTTTTTCTTCTTCCCATTTTCATTAAATTCCCTCATAGTAGATATAAAAACAGTTCCTTAATTGACACTGATTTGCAAATATATTGAATTCAAACATGTCAAAATAAATTAGATTTGTCTGTCAGTAGAAAGAAAGCAATAGAGCCAGATTGAATCCCAGTGAAATTTTATAGCATCTATTCACAAACACTTTTATATCCTAAACTGCACGGCATTTAAAATAATTAGGAGCTTTATGCGACACATACAACATTTACTTTTATTGTTACTTCTTGAACCCAACAATGAAAGTAGATTTTAAATTGTAGAATAATTGTTTCATCTCTATTTATACTATAAAATGGGGTCTACCATTTGAAAACTGCAGTCTGTTATTTTAGCATAGTCATTATTCAGATGATTCAGATATGTTAAAATGTATTTAATTGAGAGAGATTTATTGTAATTTATATTTTCAGGAAAAAAATTGAAATGTTAAACAGATATCTATGAATTAATTTCCACATCCTTAAGAAAATTACACTGTAAGCATTTTGCATATAAATCCTATAGCAGTTAACTTTTCTGGGTCACACTTTATCTGCAAAGATTTATTTCTCTTAAACAACAGTCTTGGAGTTACTTTGATCAATTTTCTTCTTACTAAAATGCAGCTGTTCATCGTACATTCATACAGTGTAATGTGTTTGAGCAATAAAAAGTATAAAGCCACCAAAAGACATAGGGGAAGCTTAAGTACATACTGTTAAGAAGCCAGTCCGAAAGGATAAGATACTGTAGGATTCCAACCACATGACAGTCTTGAAAAAGCAAACTACGCAGACAGTAAAAAGAGTGGTGGTTTCCAGAGGTTCAGGGGGAAAGAGGGGTGGGTACCTGAAGAAAAGGAGAATTTTAGGTGACCCCAACAATTCTGTATGGTATTATATTGGTAGATGTATGACATTATAAATCAGTCTAAACCCACAGAACTCTACAAGGCAGGAGTCAACAAGGCCTCATGTCAACAATGGACTGTAGTTAATAATTATGTATCAATATTGGCTCATCAGTTTTAACAAATGTGCCACACTAATGCCAAATGTTAAAAATAGAGCAAACTAGGGGTGGGAGTTTGTATAGGAGCTTTATACTTTCTGTTTAATTTTTCTGTAAACCTCGCACTGCTCTAAAAATCAAAGCGTGATATCCAAAAAACATACAGCTGTTATACATGTAAAATTTAGGGGAGGCAAGGACAATGTAAATAGCAAGATTAATGACCTAATAAAATGTACATTTGACATCTATAATAATTGAATTTTTTCAATTGAAATATTATTTATACTTCGTTTAAGAATTAGCTTAGGTTATTTTGGTCTTTTTTCTTTTTTCTTAGATTTTATGTATTTATTTGAGAGAAAGAGAGAGAGAGCAAGCAAGAAAGCACAAGCAAGGGGAGCTGAGCAAGGATCCCGATGTGGGACTCAATTCCAGGACCCTGGAATCATGCTCTGAGCAGAAGGCAGACGCTTAACCGACTGAGCCATCCAAGCGTCCCTAGTTTAGGTGATTTGGGAATTTTAGTCAGAATCTGGGGGGGGGGGTGTTTAAAATGGCCAATAAAGCCCAAAATGTTGCCCCAGGAGGGAAAAATAGGAGCCAGGGCTACATCAAGTATCGATACACACAGACATCAAATCCACCTGGATCAAGCTTTGTGATAGATGCCCTGAAGGCAGGTTCCAAGTATGAAACTATGAATCTCTCCAGTGTTCAAGGTCTATATTGGTTAAAGCAAAAGCCACTGTCTTTAGCGTGCTCCCAGCAGTACCTCTTCTGGGGAGGGGGTACCCAGCTGATTGCTTGACTCTAAAGACTCATGGGAAAGCTGTGTAGCTACACTTCTGGGCCCTTCGTGATTCAGCTGCCTCTGTTATTGTTGAGAGTGATTTTGCTCAATTATATTGGCAGTAAATCTAGATTTAAAAAGCAGAATTCCTTAACTTCAGACACCTGATACCTATTTGTTTTGAGTGAGGTGTTAAAAGTTTAAATTGGAAAAGGTTATTGATGTATTTATTATAAAGTGGGTGAATTGCAACATTTTTTTTTAAAGCTTCTGAAGAATCCTTTATTTGGCCATAATTCTTTGCTTCTGAAATTAACCAACAGATTTGACTATACTCCACAGAAAGAAGGGGGATAATGATAAGTCACATGACCTCAGACTCAGAATGGGGTTGGACCAGAAAGTCCCTTACAGATAGAACTCTAAAAATCATAAACTGTCAGCCTGTAGGTCAAACCAGGTGAGAGGATGCCTTAAAAAAATAAACTCCCACTGGCTCCCAAAATATAAAAGTTCATAGAATTCACAAAAAAACTTGAGGGGTACCCGGGTGGCTCAGTCGTTAGGTGTCTGCCTTCGGCTCAGGTCATGATACCAGGGTCCTGGAATCGAGCCCCACATCAGGCTCCCTGCTCAGTGGGGCATCTGCTTCTCCCTCTGCCTTTGCTGCTCTATCTTTCTCTGTCAAATAAATAAATAAAATCTTTTAAAAAAGAAGAAAAAAAACCTTGAACTTCCTTTATCCCATTTTAAACTCTCACCACACTAGCAGCATAGCATAGTAGTTGCCCTCATTAAATAGAGCATTAATGCCACCTGAGTCCTCCCGCCCACCTGGTTCCCTCTTAATTGATGCCCAGTCCATGTCATGCCGTTCCCTTACCTCTCTGTTCTCTCTGTCAGCCAGCTTTACAGATCCTGATTTACACCAACTCTTTCATTTTGTATTCAAGT